CTCTCTCTCTCTCTCTCTCATCTCTCCTCTCTCTCTCTCTCTCCTCTCTCTCTCTTTCTCTCTTCTTCTCTTCTTCTTCTCTCTCTTCGTCGCTTTCTCCTGCCTTCTGCGCGCCGCCGTTGGCTCTCCACTCCTCTCTTCTCTCTCTCTCTCTCTCCCTCTCTCTCTCTCTCTCTCTCTCCCTCTCTCTCTCCTCTCATATCTTTTTTCTCTCTCTTCTCTCTCTCTCTCTTCTCTCTCCCTCTCTCTCCCTCTCTCTCTCTTCTCTCTCTACTCTCTCTCTCTCTCTCTGCTCTCGTCTCTCTCTCTCTCTCTCTTCTCTCTCTCTCTTCTCTCCTTCTCTCTCTCTCTCACTTTCTCATGTATTCTCACACATGTTCTCTCCCTTCCTCGGGATTGTTCCTCACCTCCCTTCTCTCCCCTTCCCTTTCCCTCCCCTCGCCCCCTTCCCCCTCCCCTCCCTCCCCCTCCCTCCCTCCCCTTCCTCCCCTCCATCCCTTTCCCCGTATCATCTCTTTTTTCTCTTCTCCATCATTCTCTTCTTATCTTATTCGTGATCATCAAACAATGGCTTAGAACATCATGCTACACTCGCAGGCTGCTAGCCTATTGACTTACTGATTACACGGTGAGGCTGAGATGACAGAACGGTACATGATACAAAAACTGAGATACGATAACATTAGTAACAACCACTTTCTCTCAGATAAACTGAACAATTTTTACAAACATTGATTAAGGTTAATAGGCTCATTAAGAGAGAGAGAGAGAGAGAGAGAGAGAGAGAGAGAGAGAGAGAGAGAGAGAGAGAGAGAGAGAGAGAGAGAGAGAGAGGGATCGCTTGTGCATGCGCGTTTTTGCATGTATGCATTAGAGCATGCACGACTTCATGCCTGCGATAGCGAGCAAGTACCTTTCCTAACAGCTGTATGTGATCCTCCAGTGAGCTGCTCTGATCCTTCGCCAGGCAAAGCACATCCATCACAGACTCGCGCGGATGTACGCCACTCTCAAACCTGTTGTACATGCCTCGCCATAACCTGCAATCGGTAGCAATGCAGCACCAAATGTCATCGCCAGCACGACATTCCTTGTATCTACGATTCGACGATTCTCTCGTTTTTAAATTCACGACGACGGTTTTTTATTGAATCACGATTCAACTTTTTGTGGCGGCCGAATCTAATTATCTTTGCTGGAACTCACTGCGATTTCGACCGTACGCATTTTTACGTCTAACTCTATTTCGTGCAGCGAGCAAAGAATTGAAAGCATAGCAATTGTAAGTCCGTAGTTGATTCTCGACCGAGAGTCTCGGATGTGCGACGGATGTGCAGTTTGACCTCGCCACCCACCTGACATTCTGAGCACCCGTGTTTGGCTTCAGAATCTTGTTATATTTGTTGTCTCGCCTGTAGAGGGGGTTGATGTAGTCACTCATGTTGTGCAACATGTAGCCCCAGAGAGAGTATGTCCTTTCAGGCAGCCTGTGAGGGAACGAGACTATATACGCGTGATGACCGCCATCTCTGACCGACAAATATACCTTCCCTAATCGTCTATGTACTGCTGCAAATTTATCAGATTTCAAGAAAATCCTCTGTTGGATCCTTGGACCATACCACTATTATCACATTATGCATGCAATGGTATGACAGTGAAATATAAGACAAAGGAGCAGAGAGCACACTATTTGCTGTATTGCTTCTGTAGGCTATAACAGCAAAATGGCTTCTGTAATGGCTTCTGTAGCTATAACAGTAAAAATCTTAACAAAAGGCAGGTATCAATTATTAGTATAGTTTGTGTGCATAGCTGGATTCTAGATTGCAGTAAATAAGGGACCAGATCTGGCATTTAGGTGCCCTCATCTGCGCCCAGAACCCCAACCACCAATGACTAACAGGACTTATATGCAGATATTTTAACAGTCGGCTTACAGCCCGTTACTATCCAGCTAGCTTTCTCACATACGATCCATTGAAACTTTCGAGCACTCGCAGCCCCTGTAAAATGTCAGATCCCATTCCTTTAATTATTCCACCTGTCGTCTACCGATGTTCACCTGAGATCAATCCTGTCCTTCTCGCAGTTACCCAGGAAGGTGCCGTACTGGCAGGAGTACACGTGGTCGTGGATGGTCAGCAGGAATCGCTCGTTGAACTGGAATGCGCCCGGAAACTGCTGCATGACCTGCGAGGCAGAAACACACGCATCTCAGCATCGCGTGTCCACACCAGCACACTCCACACGGTGATTTTTCGGTGGGGGGGGGGGGAGGCGACGAAAACGCTCAAGCTGGGTTCGCATTTATCAACATCATCCAGAGCAATGCTGGCGGATAGTTTGCTGTGGAGGAAGAGGAGGAAGAGGATGAGGAGGAGGCATGATGATGATGATGATGATGATGATGAGGAGGCAGGAGGAGGAGGAGAGGAGGGAGGAGGAGCGGGAGGAGGCAGAGGAGGAGCAAGCGAGGAGGGTAACGGAGGAAAGATTCAATTGCTGTACATACGCTTTCGAATAGATATAGATAAATTGCTCGATTACACCAGCTACCACGCCCGCCGCATAAACATAACCAACAATTTAGAGAGCTAAATATTTGAAGGGCGAGAGGATATTTAAAGAACAAGCACGCGTACGTAAACATTTCCATTTCATTGTGAGATTAACATGCGTGCCAGTAATATAGCATCTATAGTTGATTAGTATATTATCTATATTATATAGTTATTATTTATCTTATATATGGTAGCTATATTATATGCACTCTTAATCTAAACAACCAACCTATTCAATTTTATTGGCGATATGATGCATAAGTGTCCTCGAGAAATAGACTGGTGGGCTATATTGCCACAGGTTTGGCCTAGTTTGCGTTTAAAAATGCGGACCGGGTCAAGCGAGTGGCACTCCGGACAGTGCCTATTTTTTTAGGTTTCCTCTAATTACAGTTTTTGAACTGCTCTAGAGAAACTCAGTGGTGATCAGCTGTGGCGTCTACGGTAGCACGGCGACATTGATGGTGGCCATGTGTCCATGACGGTGACGCAAATAAGGAGAGATGATGTCATTGATTATACTCGATGTATGCAGCAGCCATACAACCTCGACACATCGGTTCGATTACGTCTCTGACTACCTACGCATACACATTATGCGATACTTCTACTTAATTATAAATCCATAGAATTCCGGCTTGCATAGTCTGCATTAGAAAACACAAGAAGCAATGGCACAATTCCTATTCAACTAGTGCAGTTGTTTTCTAAATGCTCCACGGTACTGATTTGTAAGAATTCCCATGTATTGGTAGAGTACCGGTTACGATGTAATAGTTTGTGGCTCAGGCAGTTTGCTCCTTGAAGAGTATTGCGATACGTGGCACGCATGGTACCGCATGGTACCGGATCGTATCGTGTGCTACTCCTACCCCTAACAGGCAAAACAGTGGATACTACGGTGGTCGGACCCACGGTAAGCAAGCAGTCTGTCATTGACAATGTCAGTGGCTAGTGAGAGCGGTGGGAGCGGACGCGCTGAGCTAACAACACCTGCAGGCTGCCCCGTGCGATGAAGATAGAGTGAAGATGGGCAGCAGTCTCGCTTCGCGTTCTGCCGGCCAGCATGTCCGCGCGCTGCAGTGAACTTGTGTCCAAACGACAACCACCCGTTCTTCGTGGGAATCTAGGATCAGAAAGGGAAGAGAAGTAAAATCAGGGGGCGTAGAAGGGTAGAGAGCAATGGTGGCATGTTTGACTTGTAAGCGTTTGCTAGTATATAATATATATATATATATAATATAGCCGTCAGAGACCTGGACACGCCGCACACCGACGGCCCGCGCTGCGGAGACGGACAACCGTCGGAGGAAAAGGCAGGGGAGCAGCGCGTCAGGGCTGGGCCAGCACGCGCCGGGGTCGACACCGGCCCCGGGCCCAGGGAGCCCCCCCGCGCACGACCCCGACCTCGAGGCTTAAAACGTCCGCCCCGCGACCCTCGACCGGCGGATCTACGCGACAGCCACGCGAGCGATAGCATCCCGCAGGAGTCCTTCCCCGCGACCGCCCCCGGCGCCGGGGGCACGACCGGATGGGACCGGGCAGGAACCGAGCCCTAGACGGAAGGTTGCGCGGACAACACACAACACCAGGGAAGCCGACCACCACGCCCGCGGGGGGCGCCGGCGCGGGAGGCCCCGGTCGGCCGGGCAGGTCCGAGCGACCGGCCGGGCCCAGCTCCGGGGAGGCGCAGGGAACCAACGCGATGGAGGGCCCAGAGGCGCGCCCTTGCCGAGCGCCTCGCCCTACTATATTATACTATATAATTATAACGAATGTTGCAGCAACAGAGATTTAGCTGCATACAATCTTAGTGTCTCGTGTCGTCCAAATCAGCATTAGTAAGGAACTCGTCACTTGAAGCAAATTTTTTGGCTTCTCGGCACAGACAAGTTAGATATACGAGTTTCTAGGCACTAAACATATAATAGCTGCGTTTCCTTACGGTTTTCCAGACCAACGTTCCATGTTTCCAGAGAATTTTCCGCTATTCTTTTTTTAAATTCCAGGGGCGCAGTTGGCTAGAAAAATTAATTAGTCTTAACATTAACCCTTAAACTTAAGTGTTTTCTCCTTAAGCGTTGGCAGACAACTTTCGTAAAGTTAGAGAATTAAAAATTTTCGTACACTTTTTCTCTTAACTTAAGAGATCCTAGACCTCCTTAATTTAATATTAAGTTGAAAATAACCACATTTACACCACGCTTACGAATTATAAGTGATATTATATGTTGTTAAATAATGAATAAATGTGTGTTTTTCTTAGAAAACACGTGTCAAATATCATTAATTTATCTACGCGCTGAATAAAACAAAACAACTAGCATTTATGAAATGATCGTATGGCATTTGTTTCTCTGTTTGCAAAGTTTTGGCAACGGGCTATGCGACAGCCTGATTCTTCGCAGTCTCGTGTTACAGTGTGAGAATTTGTGCTTGTTTGTGCAGACAATTAATTCATCGAGCCACGTAAATATTCATCAAATATTATTTATATTGTTTAGCCCATCCATAGAATATGCATAATTGACTGTCGATGTACAATGACAACTCGCTCCGTACTGAAACTTTCGAATTTCTCGTGCATGCCGATTCCGGATCAAATCAGCACAGGACCTTACGTGATCAGAGCTCTATACGCATTTACATACGTAAAGTTTTGTTATCGAACTCTCCACACAGCTCCCACGCACCTTCTAGTCCCCTTAAGCTGGCCTCCCATTACCCTAGAGCAAGCTTTATTAAAATTACTCTTAGATTAAATTAGACTTAAAATTAAGGCAGCTGGACTCACGGCGTCACCACGCCAGCGCGTACTCTACTCAACTCGATCACCGACGCGACCTCCCCCACGCGTCAAGCCAGTCCCCATCTGGAGTTTACATCACGCTATAACCCGAGAGAAAGAGTGGCGGCGCGGGTGCGAGATTATTTCCGAATACACGCGCTTGGGGAAATGAAATTCGACGCCAACGATTTGAGAGTTTAAGATGAGCTAAGAACGCCTAACGGCCTAAACCCTGAACCCTAAACTCTAACCAAACCGTGCTTAAACCTAACCTAACGCCTAATCCTAACGTCCTAACCGCCTAACCTAACGGCAAAAAGGGGCTTCAACGACCGACGGCTGGCGTACCCGTAGCCACTGCGTAAAATTAATCGTAACTTTACGAAGTTTCTGGCAACGGGCCCCAGGACTTTCCAGATTTTTAACGGTGTGTACCGTACCCGTTACACTATTGATTTGCACAGGTTCTTGATGGCATGTTTACCATTAATGATCCGATGATGAACGGCTACGATGTTGCCACGACCCGCTATCTATGCAATAGACACGCTCGCCTGCTGTCACAAGACATCTATCAACTGAAGACAAACAGTTTTCCTTATCGGAAGCTGATAGGTGAAACCTTGTACAGGTTACGCGTGACCGATGGCAACAGCTGACAGACTACACGTATATTGGCTATTTCATCGCTATAACGTGCTACGAGTGAGAAGGAGAGAGAGAGAGAGAGCCTATAACTGCATGATTGGCTCTTTATCAGATATAACTGCTCGCTGGGCAGCAAGTAATCTCAAATATGGCTCATGCGCAAGATTTCCTCATCCAAGGACAATTACTCTGACACCTCAACAAAAACTGTCAAGAACCAACTGGGTGCTGCAGGCCATAGGTATGTAATCCCCCACTTATATTCTGATACGGTCTATTGGCCAAACCACACTGGAAATTGCATGGGAGCGTGAATCTGATATCAATCCTGTAGAGTGAAGCACTAGAAAGTGGGATGCTTTTCTATAAAGCTGTAGAGAGTGAAGATTCAACAATGAACCCAGTCGCTAGCAGGAAACCCTTACCATGAAATGTTGGGTAATGAAAACCTAACATTCAGCCCTAATGATGAAACCCTGAACAGTGAAACCATAACAATCGAACCCTAAAGCCTGGCGCACATGTGAGTTATTTTACTCAAGTAAAAGTGAGTCAAATTACTCAACGAAAATCCGCCGCACACGTGAGTAAAATGACGCATGCGTCAAATTACTCAACAAAAATCCGCCGCACACGTGAGTAAAATGACTCATGCGTCATTTTACTTGAGTAAAATAGCTCACGTGTGCGCCGGGCTTAACAATAAAACCATGGCTAGTGAAACCTTAACAATGAAACCCTAACGATCGAACCCTAACAATGAGACCCTGGCTAGAGACTTAGGCATGATGAAACCCTAAACAGTGAAACCCTAACATTGAAATACTGAACAGCGAAACCCTAACATTAAAACACTGAACAGCAAAACCCTAACATTGAAATACTGAACAGCGAAACCCTAACATTGAAACACTGAACAGCAAAACCCTAACATTGAAATACTGAACAGTGAAACCCTAACATGAAATACTGAACAGTGAACCCCTAACATTGAAATACTGAACAGTGAAATCCTAACATTGAAACACTGAACAGTGAAACCCTAACAATGAAACCCTGGTTAATGAAGCCCTAATTATGAAACCCTGAACACTGAAACAGTGACAGTAATTTCCCTGGAGAGTAAAGCTCTGGAGGGGTAAACCTTAGCAAATAAGCCCTGACTAGTGAAAACCTTCATAAAAGGCCCTGGAGACAATAAAAACTAACCAAAGGACAGTGAAATCCATACTATGAAGCTATGACGAGAAAGGGTCTGGAAGGGTAAACCCTCACAATCAATTCCTGAGGTAAGCGCTTACCATGAAGCCCTGTAGTGTTCTGTAGAATGGGTCTAGTAGGATGCTAGCTAGAGAGCAGGTCTGTGCTGTGCGGTCCCAGCCATCGGAGCAGTGCACCATCACGCTGATTCCTTCCTCTCCCACCGCCTGCAACAACAACCAGCATCATGACGACATCGTTACACGCTCACAGCCAGGATGTGACAGATCAATATAGCCGTACAATGCTGGCTCAACCGGTCGTTGGAAGCGCATCTAATCGGAGCGAAACGTCAAGAAAGAGTTGCACTGATTTTACAGCAACACGATTGTGACGCATGGTAATATGTCATAACAAATGCGGGAATCTGAATAGCGGCGTTGTATCGAATGCTAGGATGCTATAGCCCTGCAGTAGAAAAATTACGGCATGCGGTCTAACGCAGTAAGTTGTGTAGATTCAGCAATTTTTATTCTGTGAAGAAAGTCAGCTGCAGCCAGTATATATACTGAAACGAACGTTTGTGGTCCTTCGGCCATTCGAATGTAGATGAATTCTAAATTCATGCACTAATAATGAAAAGCTTAGCAGTGAGCGAAATTTTATGAGAAAGTCAGACATATGATGAAATCTTTTTCAATGAAAGATGAAACCAGATTAACCATTATGATAAATGCTGGTGATTTCACGAAAGATCTGACAGCGACAGTCAACTATAAATTATGCTCTCCGGACTGTTCTCCTCAATCAACTCAATCTCTCCATCAACTCTCACAGACTCACACGTATCTATACCCTAGACGGCCACAACAGCTTCAGTGTGGCATTACAGTACAAGGTCAGTTGTCAGGGGCAGGGTTTTACATAAAGTGTATCCATTGCGCCAACATCTCAACTGGTCTTTCATGTCTGATGATGCATGGAAGGTTACAGCACTCTGCCACCGACCATATATACCTAGCACCCCCTACGTCATCGGTTCTTAATCTGGGGGTCGTTTGGAGTTTTTCCAGGGGTCATGAAGGTGTCATAAATGAACCAAATCCATTTAAATTCTATATAAATCGGGCTGGTTTAAAAAAAATATTTGTTTTGGGGTTCACGGTACTGACCAAGAATGTCTGATGAGGTCGTGGGGCCAAAAAGGTTAAGAACCACTGCCCTACGTGCTGCACGCATGTCCAATACTACTTACAAGCTACATGCATGCACAGACACCCCTCCCCCCACCCCACCCGCACACGTACGTAACGTGCACATGCCCAGCTACCAGACCCTCTACCCGACGTGTGCATTACCAACACACCCTATGCAGCACATGCGCCCCCTGACGGCCGGGGGAAGGTGTGTCACTTACGCTGGCGATAAACAGAGACGTGTCCATCACAGATTTGATGTGCTTGAGCCATCCGCTGGACTGCAGGCCTTCCAGGCAGTCCGACATGCCCGGGTCCTTTAGCTCACACACTGCAAATAAACAACAACACCGGTCGGCTCACACACTGTAATTAAATAACAACACCGGTCGGCTCACACACTGTAATTAAACTAGAAAGGGCAGTTGTCGCCAACTACATGTATCCCCCGTGATCTAGTATGAATGAAATATCTCTGTAAGGACGTAGAAGGTAGGTAAAGTTAAATAAGTCACAAAGACAAAGTTTTGTTACACAACTCATCTGCCTGAGATGTGCAAGTATGTTAAAATTGGTTGCCTTAGGGGTTTTGGTACGCAACACACCTTCTCCCCAAGATTTGTAAGTATACAAAGTTTGCTTGCACTAGGTCAATTAGGGGCCGAGTTATAGAGCGGAAGAGAAATATGATGAAGGTCAAGGTCAAGGTCAATGTCAAATAAAGGTTGCAGTGACCTGGTTTTGGTACGCGACACACCCTCTCCTCAAGATGTGTAAGTATACCAAGTTTGGTCGTGCTAGGTCAATTAGGGGCCGAGTTATAGAGCGGAAATGAAATATAATCAAGGTCAAGATCAAGGTCAAATAAAAGCCACAATGACGTGGTTTTGGTACGCGACACACCTTCTCCCCAAGATGTGTCAGTATACCAAGTTTGGTAGCGCTAGGTCAATTGGGGGTCGAGTTATAGAGCGGAAGGGAAAGTGTGTGCGGCGAGCCGAGCGGCGGCGGCTGGACAGACATGAAACCAACTTCTTTACGGGGGATAAAATAACAGCACCGGTCGGCTCACACACTGTAAATAAATAACAACACCGGTCGGCTTACACACTGCAATTAAATAACAGCATTGGTCGATTAACACACTGCAATTAAATAACAGCATTGGTCGATTAACACACTGCAATTAAATAACAGCACCGTCGATTAACACCTGCAATTTAATTAACAGTACCAGTCAATTAACACACTGAATTAAATAAGCAACACGGTCGAGTCAGCACACTTCATTAAATAATAAAAGCACCGGTCGATTAACACCACTTCAATTAAATACAGTCACCGTCGATTAACACACTGCAATTAAATTAACAGCATCAGTCGATTAACACGACTGCAATTAAATAACAGCCTGTGCGATAGCACAGCTGGCAATTATACCGGCACCGGTCGAATCAACACACTGGGCCAATTAAATAACGGCGCATCCAAGTCCGATTAACACAGGCTGGCAATTAAATAAGCAGCACGCAGTCGATTAGGCCACGCAATTAAGATAACAGCACAGTGCAACTTGAACACACTGGCAATTAAATAACAGCATCGTTGATCAACACACTGTGCAATTAAATAACAGCACCAGTCGATTAACACACATGCAATTGAAATAAGCATCAGGGCACCATGTCGATTAACACACTGCAGATTAAATAAAGCACTGTGATTACCATCTGGCAATTAATAACAGCAACGGTCGATGCAATCAACACACTGCAATTAATAACCGCACAGTCGAGTTAACACACTGCAATTAAATAACAGACAGTCGATTAGCCAAGCTGCAATTAAATAAGGGCACAAGTCATTATACACACTGCCAAGATTAAATAACAGCATCGGTTGATCAACACACTGCAATTAAATAACAGCACAGTCGATTAACACCGCTGCAAATTAAATAACAGCAGCCGGTACGATTACACACTACAATTAAATAACAGCACGCGGTCGATTAAGCAACTGGCAATTAATTAACAGCACGGCGGTTGATAACACACTGCAATTATAATAACAGCACCGGTCGATTAACACATGCAATTAATAACAGCACAGTCGATAACACAGCTGCAATTAAATAACAGCACGGTCGATCAACACACTGCTAATATAAATAACGCACCAGTACGAGTAGAACACTGCAATTAAATAAGCAGCACCGGTCGATTAACACACTCGCAATTAAATAAC